GGAATAAAGCACAAGCTTAAGGAGCTCTGGTAGTGTAATGGTCACGAATCGGGCTGCTAACCTCAGGTTCAGCAGTTCGAAACTACCAGCTGCTCCACGGCAGAAAGCTTCATCTTTCTGCTCCCGTAAAGATGTACAGCCTCGGAAACCCTGTACAGGGTCGCTATGAGTCAGAACCAACTCCACGGCACATAACAACAAAGGAATATGTGATGGAGAAGATAATGCAGAGTCAGGGGCAGGTGATAACTGGGGTGTTGTTTTAGGTTGGGTGGCCCAGAAAAACCTTTTTTGAGGAGGCAACATTTGAATAGAGACTAAAATAAAATGAGGGAGTGAGTCTTTTTGAAGACAGGGAGAGGAGTGGTAGTAACTGGATCTGTAAAGTATTACTAAATTACAATGACTCTTAGGAAAACCGGATGAGAAAGCATGTATACATGGAAGTTGTACTAGTCATTTTGTTTGCAACTTTGTTTTGACAGTAAAATTGCAAAATCTTTCTATGTCATTAAGTAAAATCTATACTTGGTCATTTGGATAAGTATCAGTTTACTTTTAGCTGTTCCATTATTATTGGATATTCAGATTGCTTTCAGTTTGTTCCTATTTTAAAGAATTCTGTGATTCTTATATATACATTTTATACCATTGTGTATGTTTAGTTTTTAGAATACATGCCTAGAAATGAAGTTTTTAGGTCCAGAAATACATGGGGTTTTTTATATTGTTGTTTTTTTGTCTGTAGAGAATATTGCCAAAATATCCTTCTGAAAAATTATACCAGTTTGTAACTACCCGGTGGCACTATCATTTTCCTAGTGTCTGCCTTGCCAGTCTGATAAAAAATGCTTTATAATTTTTTATTCTTTATATTTAATGATGATTAAATGGTGCAGCATTCAAATTGAACAGCCTAAGAGATAGATTAGCTTCATTTGAGAAGGGATCATTCAGATAGAGAATTCTTAGGCTCCTAACTTCTCCATGATCACATGTGGACAGTGCAAAAGAAAGGCTTAAGTTAGTAACCAAAGGAGCAAAGCCAGTCACCTCCATAGAAGGGAACTTTGGGCAACAGTAACAAAATTCACATGCAAGGCTAGGGGTGCACATTTACACATGTGTATACACGGCACATAACAACAATAATATACAAGTGAAAGGAGCTCTGGTAGCATAGTGGTTATGAATTGGGCTGCTAATCTTACGGTCAGCAGTTCAAAACTACCAGCTGTTCCGCGGGAGAAAGATGAGGCTTTCTGCTCCCATAAAGATTTATAGCCTCGGAAACCCTGTACTGGGTCGCTATGAATCGGAACCGACTCCACGGCATATAACAACAACAACAAGGTTAATATAAGGAGCTCTGGTAGCATAGTGGTTACAAATTGGATTGCTAACCTCAAGGTCAGTAGTTTGAAATGACCAGCTGTTCCGCGGGAGAAAGAGGAGGCTTTCTGCTCCCGTAAAGATTTATAGCCTCGGAAACCCTGTACAGGGTCGCTATGAGTCGGAACTGACTCTACGGCACATAACCACAACAACAACAAGGTTAATATGGAGTCCTAGTATGGTGTTGCAGGATAAGCATTGAACTGTTAACCAAAAGACCAGCAGTTTAAATCCTGTAGCCACTCTTTGGAAACCCTATACAGGGTTGCTATGAGTTGGGACTGACTCAGTGGCAATTAACGCACCAAGGATAATATTGCACTCACATTTATTAACTACTTATGTTCCAAGGACTTGGCCAGGAGCTTGGAAGGAAACTGAGTATCAGAAAGGTCGAACAGTTTTTTCATTTTTGTCTCATAGCCTGTAAGTGGCAGAATAGGATTTGAATGCCTTTTGACTGATGGCCAACATTTATATTCTTTGTTCTGCTAAATGCCATCTGAGTATTGTGTTCATTTTTTATTTATTGAGTGAATTTTTCTCATAAAACTAAAATGATTTTATGATTTTGAGATTCTTAGTTGTGTCAGATTAAAGAAAAATCTCACGAGATTTTCTTCCCCCTCATTCTGGTTATTATTTATAGAAAAAGGAAGAAAAGCACCCAGAGAGGTTTGTGAATTTCACAGAACCCTGCTATAGCAGCTGCATGGAGAGACAGCATCATTACTTCCTTAATTACATTGAGGAATGGTGAGTGAAGAACCCAAGGAATGGATTTCTAATCTTGCTGACTAACTTATTTTGTACTTGTAGTTTTTTTCTGTAAGAGCAAAAAAATAGAGGTTTTGGGTATCCACCAGAGGTACTCAAGAAAAAATCTGAACACTTAAACCTAGGCATAAGATGGAATTAAACTCTGCCTGGCTGGAGTCATTCTCAGGCAAAAAGCCTTCAGGTTTCATGCTCCAAATCCATACCTTGAGTACTGCACTGGTAACTGAGGTTGGTGGTTCAAACCTACCAGCTGCTCCTTGGAAATCCTAACAGGATCACACTGAGTCGGAACCAGCTTGACAATACTTAACAACAGCGATGCCTTTCTTCTTCTTCAGTCTTTATTTAAGGGCTCTGTGGTGGAATCCCACTTTCCAGGTAGGAGGCCCAGGTTTGATTCCTGGCGAGTGCTATTAGTAGAGGCTTGTGCATTCTTGTGATGCTGAACAGGTTTTAGTGCCGCTTCTAGGCTAACACAGACTAGGAAGAAACGCATGGTGATCTACTTTTGAAAAGTAGCCAGTGAAAACCCTGTAGGTCACAACAGTCCAGTCTAGTTACTAATGGGATTGCCATGATTTGGGGCTGACTCAGTGGCAACAACACCATCAATGAACAGATTAACTTTTCTTGTGAGAGCAGTGGAAATTAAAAGGTAGATTACTTGAAGCAAGAGTCTCTTCCTTTAATTAAATTATTCTGCTTTTAAGGTGATGTGTTTATTGTGAATTTGACTTGGTTCTATTGTGTCTTTTACCTTGGGAGTGTTCTTTTGGGTAGACTTGCAATTCTCCAAGATTTTATCCTATAAAAGTCTGAAAAGTTAGGCTTTGTATCTGAACTTTACTCATCTTTTATCAACCATATAGAAAATGTACCGTTCCTTGATGTCTGGAGGGTGTACTCAAAGGTGTCACACATTACCGCAAACCCAAATCAAGGTAGACTTGTTGATATGTTTTAATTTAATGGTCTTCTGGTTTTATTCCTTAAAGGGATTTAGTGCTGGCAGCATCTGCAGCGTCCACAGAAGTTAGTATCCTGGCTCGGCAAAGTGATCAGGTAAATTTTTTTGTCACTTTTTTTTGGTGATACTTTCAGAGAAAGATTTTGGTTGGAATTAAACTATATGGTTAAGAGTTAGATGAGGTTTACATCCTTATTAATGACTTCTGGAGGAGCTGAAAGCTTAAATGACAAAGCACCTTGGATCAAGTGGCTTAGATACAGCTTTGGACAACCATGGTGTCCGATTTAGCAGTTCTTTCCGTATTGCAAAAAGTCCTTCTGTTCTTTGGGGATTTTGGCTGCAGTAATATAATCAGCAATGTATGGGAGGTTTTTCTTCCTTGTTCTCTTTTTTCATCTTTCTTTTCCTTTTACTTGAACTTGTCCCGATTATACAAGAAACTATAATCATACCTTGACTGTGGAAGACATGCAGATAGAAGCAAATTGTGACTCAACAGGACGAATTTATGTAACTGAAAAATATGTCAGAAAGAAAAAAGTCCCTCTGCTCATAAGTATACCCCTCTTTCTTTTACTTAGTCCTTCTTGCAGTGAAGGATGGACTGAGGTAGCGATGGAAAGCTATCCACTTGTTGACTCTACAGAGTGCAAGGGGAAACTTTTTCATGTAATACTTGGCAGTCTTGGGTGGCAATGTGGGTTAATGCACTGGACTACAAAGGCAGTTTGAACTGCAACTGATGGTTGGTCGTTTAAGTTCACTAGCTGCTGCTTAGAGACCCTATACAGGGTTGCTATGAGTCAGAACTGACTCGATGGCACTTAACAACAACTTGGACTTCAGTTTTAAATGTTTGCACATCCCAGACATTAACACCTGTGCTTCTTCAGTCATTCAGCATTTATCATTTTCTGGGCAGCAAAGTGGCCCACTATAAGTAGCATGGCTTTCATGTGTTCAGAGTGGCAGAATCAGCATTGTGTTTTGCTGCTCTAGAACTGTCTTAGACTTCAGTAGGAAATTTTTAATAGCATAAATATTTTATGTATCTATGCAGCACTAAAGGATAATCACTGGACAGCTAATGTCAAGGTTGGCAGTTCAAACCTACCAGCTACTCCTCAGAAATCCTTTATTGGGTCTCTAGAAGTTGAAACTGACTCGACGATACTTAACAATAGCAATGGTTTTCAAAATATACATTTATTTTTAACTTACATCAAAATTATGTATAATGTTAGTGCTATTGAGTTGGTTCTAACTCTTAGTGACCTGTGTAGGGTTTGGAGTGGTTATAAATCTTTACAGAAGCAGAAAGTTTCATTTTTCTCTTGCAGGAAAACTGGTGGGTTTGAACTGCTGATCTTGTGGTTACCAGTCTAGTGCTTATCCTACAGCACCACAGCATTCCTTAATTTATGTATATGCTTAAAAAATAAAATTGTACAGAGGTTTTCTAAATGAAAAGAAATACTATACTCCACTCCTCTTGGTTCTAGTCTCTGAGGGGACCTTATTTTTTCTTTAAGTTTTTTTTTAAGGTACTGCAATTTTTATACAGTTCAGTGATTTTTCAATATTTTGCAGCTATTTGGTTTTGCAGCACAGCAATTCATACACTATACAAAATTACCAGCAAGACTGGAATGATGTATTAATGGAAGGCACCACCATCCTTATTACATTACCAGAGAACAAAAATATGGTAAAAACCAGTTTTACTGTATACAGCATAAAGAAAGGAAAAAGGGTAGGAGGAGTGTGTTGAGCAGTATTGAAGAGGGGCAGGTAGAAAAATCGATATGGAGCTACTAAACCTGGTCTAATAGTCAAGACCAAGGTTTTGAAGTTCTTAATTGTGTTTAGTTCGTAATAAAACTATTTTTTTCTGTAATATACTTGTAGTGTTGTGTTAAAGTTTATGTGTACACCTCCTGGTCACAACAAGCAGATAAAATTCCCTCTCATTTCACAAGCTATTCTCTACTGGAAAATTCTTTTAAGTTTTTATTGTGAAGGTTTACAGAGCGCATCATCAGTACATTCAATAAATCATACACTTTATTTTAAATTATTATAATCTCCATGTAATAATTGGTGATTCTACTTCCTCTCTATTATTTTGTTTATATTCCTCCTTCCCTATCTGTCTGAATTTTGTATTTTGGTAAATGCTGCCTTTTTGATCTTAAATGGTTGACCATTCTATGATGAGCATACCTCACCATATGTTATGGTGTTATGGCATAGTGGTTATGAGTCGGGCTGCCAACCTCAAGGTCAGCAGTTCGAAACTACCAGCGGTTCTGTAAGAGAAGGATGAAGCATTCTGCTCCCATAAAGATTTACAGCCTCAGAAGCCCTGTGCAGGGTCACTATGTGTTGGAACAGGCTCCATGGTACTTAACAACAACAGTAAAAACAAATACCTTATCTGTTTCTTGGATGAAAATTGAGCCATAGGAGTGGAGTTCAGTTGCAGACCTGAAGGGGTGGCCAAGGGTTCTTCCAGTTTCTTTCTGAACAGTAAGCTTGTTATTTTTTTTATAATTTTGGGTTTCATTCCACTTTGCCTAACACTCTTTCAGAACAATTGGTAATTGGGTACCATCTTGTTCTGGTCTCAGGGTTGTGGTGTCCATTAGACTAATTGGTTATAAGTCCTGAGTCCCAGGCCCAGCAACTCATTCCCTCAAGGAATTTGGTAATGTCTAAGAAGCTTGACGGGGCTATTTTTAACTTGTAAATGTTGTCTGTTAGTGGTGGTGTTGTTAAATGTTATCAAGTCAGTTCTAACTCACAGTGACCCTTTATAGGGTTTCTAAGGAGCGGCTAGTGGGTTATAACTGCTGACCTTGTGGTTAGCAGTTCAATATTTCTTTTACAGCACTTTACCTCCATATTTATAGATAATAATATGCTTTATTACTGGTAATTGATTAATTGTGATATTAATTTGTTTTGTCTATAGATTGGTTTTGAAAGTTGGTATGTGTTATGTTTACATTATGAATACAAGGGTAAGTCAAAAGTATTGCAATTAAGGTTCCAGTTCAGACTAGGGTTTATTCCAAAACTAGTTGTGTTAAGCATGTGTCTGATTAATGAGTCTTTGCAGACAAGTTCTTTCAGTAATACACTTGGTGGTGGTTGTTAAGTGCTGTCAAGTCAGTTGCAACCCATAGCGGCCCTGTTTTAGGTTTCCAAGGAGCAGCTGGTGAGCTTGAACTACCAATCTTGAGGATCAAACCGACTTTGCAGTCCAACGCATTAACCCATAGTGCCACACCAGGCCAAGTTGTGGCTATGTGCTGTGGAGTTGATTCCAACTCATACCGACCTGTATAGGGTTTTTGAGGCCGTAAATCTGTGGGAGCAGAAAGCCTCATCTTTCTCCTGTGGAATCACTGGTATTTTCAAACTGCTGACCATGAGATTAGCAGCCCAACTCATAACCACTGCGCTACCAGAGCTCCTTTAGTTTTGTTAGTGTGCCTTAAAAATGTCCAATCAATGTGGGGGAAGGTAGAGCCCCTACTGAAGAGTTTTCATCTTGTCTAGACAGATCTGGTGAAAGGAAATGGGGCTAAGATTCTTAGATTCAATAGTGAGTAATTGTTATCATGACTAATTGCGATTGTTACAACTGTAAAGGTAGAAGTTTTGTAACAAAAAGGGGGGAATAGTTAATCTTACAGGCAGGAACAGAGGACCCTAGGACCATCAAGGGAGAAGAGCATGAACGGAACATGGGACCCTATCCAGAGAAGCAGTGGAAAGAGAAAGTCTGTGTGCTGGTGGCCAGGAGGCTGTCTTGCCAAATGTGCCCTTTGGTAGTTTAAGTGATTATATATTCTTGAGTGTTTTTGTGTACATTAAAAAAAAACAAAAAAAAACAGCCACAGAGGGAATAGAAGCAAATACTGTTGAATGATGATGCATGGAAGGGATTGTAATCATTGCAATGAAACGAAATACGATAGGATGCGTATAAAACTGTTGCTCTCCCATGTAAACTGTCAGTCAATTCACAATAAAAACTTAAATAAATAAAGTCCAGTGAAAACAGTGGCTTCCAAGGAAATCTGCTGGAGTAGTTCCAGGCAGAGAGATCAACTCAGAAGGTGATGGTGACTGGTTTTTGGGGGGATAAATACTGAGCTGCAAACCACAAGGTTGGCCAAGCCCAGTAGTCTGTTCTGTGAGAGAATGATGAGGCTTTATGTTATTGTAAGGACTTACAGCCTCATAAACCCTTTATAGGGCCAGTATGAGTTGGAACTGAATTGATGGCACTTAAAAAACAACAACAATAATCTTGATAGATTTTCTCAAAGGACACAGGATCCATGGGGGCTTATTATGAAGAAGTTTTAAGAAAGTTGAAAAATGCATTGTTGAGGATAAGACCAGGAAAGTTGTGCTGACGATTTTTTTTTCCCATTACGACTGCACCTGTTCATTCTTCAAGGGTGGCAAGAGCTAATCTTTGAGTGTTTCATTGGGGAATTCTTTCCCCAGAAACCCTACAGTCCTGCTCTTGCCCTTTCAATCTTTTAGTTCCCAAATTCAAAGAACATGTTAAAAAAAAAAAAATTTGATTTGAATCTCTTTAGAGTGCCAAAACTGCTGTTTTGATGTGGTTCAAATTGTAGAGTGCAGAATTCTTCAGAGAAGGGTTAGCGAAATGAAAACAGCATTTTCAGAAGAGTGCAGACCTAGAAGGAGGGTATGACAAAAAAACACAAAACTACAGCTTCACATTTTTGTTTAATAAAGATGTGTAGATTTTGTAGCAATACTTTTTGATTTACCGTTGTATGTGAATAATATTCACTCCACAGCTAGGTCGTGTAGTATGCTTATTATCTTCTTTTCCTAAACCAATTTTGTTTCTTCTCTTACTTATTGACTAACTATTCCCCTTTGATTCTTCCTGCCCAGTTTTGGTCATCACTGAAAATTAAAATGTTAATGATTTTTTTTTAACTTGGAATCACTTGTTTGAAGAAATAGACCACTCAAGCAAGTCTAGGCAAAAGGGGAGTTTATTGGAAATATTTAGGGATTTTTCGAGGAATCCAGGAACAGGGAGACTGACCAGACTGAGGATCTGTCACCAGGAACTGAAGAGAGTGGATGAGCAAGCACAGGGCATCTGGCCCAGTTGAGTAGACTTCTGTGTTCAAGGTCCCAACATGGAGCACCTGGTCCCAACCCCAAATTTCTAGGAGCAGGTGTTAGATCTTGTGTCAGGAATCTTCCTCACTTGTGATAGGGGTAGCTCAGAAAGTGTTCACAATCATGAGGCAGAGACTTAGTACACCAGCAACAGATGGAGAGGTTGATTTAGAAAATTAGTCTCTTTCTTGCTGGAATATGCATGGCTATTAGACCATCTTGCCAGATTTCAGAGCCTCACAGTCTGTAGAAATCTAAACCAAGTATATCTCATTTTTTTTTTCTCTCTCTCTCTCTTATTGGATGATGCTGAGAAGAACCAGTGTAAAACTAAACAAAACAAGATGGCATTTTGTCTTTTTTTTTTTTTTCCAGATTAACTGGGAATCTTGGCTTTTGGAGGATTCTAGTCGAGCTGAACTGCCTGTGACAGACAAGAGTGATGACTCCTTACCCATGGGAGTTGCCATAGACTATACTAACCAAATGGAAATCACCATCAGTAAGCATAGCCTAATGTTTAGTGCAGAAATATGCACAACAGGAGACACTTCTTTATCTGCCTCTGATGCTCCAGTTTAGAAAATTGTCAATGTCAGATACCATTAAATCCTTACTCTTCGCTTGGGTAGGCTGGAGTGTTTGGTCAGACTAGTAGTTTTCTGTGTTCAGACACAGGTGCTGATTTGCTTTGATTCTCTTGAAGTCATAAATACAAAGACAAAATACACAAATATGATTCTACTATGAATAAAAACACGGTCATTTGACGCATCTGTATTTGCCATGACAGGTGAGGCTGTCATTTTGCTGCTAAACCAAACACTGCCTGGAAACTTCTGTCTTGGTCAGTGTGAAACACTTAGAACACTTAGGGAGCTTTGGGAGAGTCAGTACTTACTATAGGCTTAAAATGACTGGAAGAGGTCTGAGAATGGCAATCTTGTTTTAAATAGCTAGTGTACAAAAGGCTGTTCAGACTGAATCAGAATAAACTGGCTTGAGCTGCTATTGAGATGAGACCATCAAGCCCTTCCTTTTTTAGGAACCTTTCTTTTCTTTCTGGGACCAGGTACTTAAATTGACTTGGTTCTTTGCTTTATCCTTTTTTTTCCTTCTTCTTTTCTTTTTACAGGTGATGAAAAGACTTTTCCTCCTGCTCCAGTTCTTATGTTACTTTCAACAGATGGCGTGCTCTGTCCATTTTATATGATCAATCAAAATCCTGGCATTAGATCCCTTATCAAGTTACCTGAGCAGCTCTCATTAGAAGGGGAGCGACAACCCAAGTCTTCAGGTATGTAACTTTCGTTGCTTTGACAGAGTGTAGATAACACTACACTGTACAGGAATATCCCCAAGGATAAGGAGCTCTGGTAATGTAGTGGTTACGAGTTGGGCACTAATCTCACAATCAGCAGTTCGAAACTACCAGCTGTTATGTGGAAAAAGATGAGGCGTTCTGCTCCTGTAAAGATTTACAGCCTCGGAAACCCTGTACAGGGTCGCTATGAGTCAGAACCGACTCCATGACACATAACAACAACAACATCCCCAAGGATGAAAACTGCAAAGTGACTACCATTATCTGCCCTGTTTACCTTAGTAAGATAGGGAATATTCTTTTCCTTGAATACATATGCACATAACTTGGCTTCTTTCACTACCAATCTTTATTTTCCAACGATTCACTTTAGAGAAAATGGAAGGGCAGCCAGATGGATTCCATCAGATTGTTTACAAACAAATTCTCTTACATGATCGTATAGGATGTGATCAGTATCCTAAAGTAATTTTACTTAATCATGGGATTTTGTAGGGTGAAATGTCATGTAACTATTAAGGGAAGTTAGTGAGATATGTTTTTTAAAAAAATATATGTGTCATCCCTTTTTTATGAGACAAAATGTATACTTGAGAAATACTTGAAAAACAGATAATAAAAATATTGACTATTTCTGGATGAAAGGGGCATGAGGATTTTATTTTCTTTTTGTTTATATTTTATAATTTTCTTTAACTTTGTTTTTTTGGAGAAAAATTAAGAAAGTATAAACATAAAATTCAGCAATTTCCACAGTCAATATTTTGGTACATGTTCTTTGTGCGCATAAATTCACACATGTAAAGACTAAACTGTATTTTCAAGTTTTTTATAGTGACCATGTTTATCACTTATCAGAAGAGAATATAAAAGTTTTTTTTAAAACGACATTATAAACCATCTCTAAGGAGCCCTGGATGTGCTGTGAATTAGATATTGGGCTATTAACTACAAGTGGGCAGTTCAAATCCACCAGTTGCTCCTCAGGAGAAAGATGAGGCTTTCTGCACCCATAAAAACTTCCAGCCTTGGAAACTGTATACAGAGTCACTATGAGTCAGAATCAACTTGATGGCAATGAATCTGATTTTATTATTATTTTTTATGTGGTGTCAAATTGGCAACAACAACTGGGAAGATTGAATAGTAAGCTTAGGGGCAGTGAATTTATATTATTGAGGGTAGAAAAAATAGAAAAGGCGGGTGAGAATGCTTGTACAACTGAAATAATTAATGTCACTTGTAGAAATTGTGAGTTGGTGCATGTTTTGCTGTGCATGTTCCCAACAGCAACAATTAATG